ACACAAATCGTGCGTGTTGCCAATGGAGACAAGACGCTGTGGTGGTGATTAAACGATTACAACTAATTTAGTACTATAACATACAGGGTCCTGCAAGAAAAAGACACGACCCGCAAATCCGTGGCCACAGAACAGCAGAATATGAACGCAATGCACAAAGTCTCTCGTTAAGCGTTTTCCTCCTGTAGAAAAATATAAACACTTAACATGGCGTAATGTATTAAGATGTTATTAAAATATCAAATTAAATATACAATTTATTAATATAATGAATATGTATATAGTATTTTCCTCCCATACCGCAAAACGTACGTGGCATAATGGACTAAAAAGGCCAAACTCAATATGCTCCTCTACATTATTAATATACATAACTAATATACAGGCAAGCAGGTGAGCCTAGAATAAATGCAACACGCACAGTTTCGCGTTAAGCGTTTTTCCATATAGAATAAACTGTCTACAGCTCTTTTATATCATTGTCTTTGTCCATTAAGCTACATTACTTGTTTTATTTATAATGATTTTCTATAGGAGGAAAATGTTTAACGTGCAATTTAATGCATTGCGTTCTGGGCTCGTCTGCTTGCCTGTACAGAGTTGATCCTTTTAAAATCACTTAATGCATTTCAAAATGCACGTTCATATTTGCTGTTCTGTATATACTTGAGTCAACAACAAGACATATAGGCTACTGTATTGTGAAAGTGAAAGTGACGTGACATGTGGCCAAGTATGGTGACCCATAGTAGGAATTAGTGCTCTGCATTTAACCCATCCTACACACACAGCAGTGAACACACACCCGGAGCAGTGGGCAGCCATTTATGCTGCGGCGCCCGGGGAGCAGTTGGGGGTTCGGTGCCTTGCTCAAGGGCACCTCAGTCATGGTATTGAAGGTGGGAGAGCTGTACATTCACTCCCCCCACCTACAATCCCTGCCGGTACGAGATTCAAACCCACAACCTTTGGGTTACGAGTCCGACTCTCTAACCATTAGGCCACGACTTCTTGTCTTTATCATAGCCATCTGTTTGCCTTGTAGTACATTAAATAATAACTATATATCGAATTTGATCTTTTAATTGAACTTAATGTATCTTAATACATTACGCCATGTTAAGTGTTTATGTTTTTCTACAGGAGGAAAACAACGAGAGACTTTGTTGCGCATGCGTTCATATTCTGCTGTTCTGTGGCGACGGATTTGCGGGTCTTGTCTTTTTCTTGCAGGACCCTGTATGTTATAGTACTAAATTAGTTGTAATCGTTTAATCACCACAGCATCTTGTCTCCATTGGCAACACGCACGATTTGTGTCGATTGCAAGTCGCAGGTATCGGAGAGTGCAAGTGGCGATTGCAAGTGACATTGTAACTTAGTTTCTTTTTTCTTGCCTTCACCACCTGGCTACTGTTGTAAAATGTTGAGAGATTCAAACAAAAAGTAATCAATAAATAGAACAAAATTAAAAAAATAAAAGACTGCAAGTGACGTCCTAGCAGAAGCGCAACTGTCTGAGAGTGCAAGTCTGAGAATGCATGTCTGAGAGAGAGAGAGAGAGAGCAACAGAGGACAGCAAATAGTGGACAAGAAACACTTTCTGCTGATTTGTCCTAAATATCACAATGTGAGGGAAACATTTCTCCCCAGATTAGAAACACTGATTCCATAATTTGCTGAATTTAGTGATACTGAGAAAAAGCCCTTCATACTTGGAGAAGATGACAACACAGCTGCACTAGCTGCAAAATGTGTGTTAGCCATTCACAATGTTAGGTTAGGTGTTAAGCATGGTTAACTCTAAACTGACTCACTTTATCTTTTCATTTGTGGATTTTAATTATTAGTTATCTATGTTTTTTTTGTTTGTTTCTTTATTGATTCTTTGTATTATTGATACATATGTTAATGCTTTGGAAATTGTGTTACACAGTCGTGCTAATAAAGCTTAGTTAAATTGATTGAGAGAGAGAGAGAGAGAGAGAGAGAGAGAGATTCAATGATTCAATGTAAACACTGTGCTTTGGCAATACATTGTAACAATTGTCATGCCAATAAAGCACATATAGAAATGGAGAGAGAGAGAGAGAGAGAGAGAGAGAGAGAGAGAGAATGTAAGGTGGTTACCTCAAAAAGTTCCTCCGGCACCAGGTCGTGGTCTCGCAGCTGAGAGAGGAATCTGTGCGGTTGCTCGATGCACGAAATCTCCGTCTTCTTCCGGTGGAGAAAAAACAGCAACTCTTCAGTCGTTAGAAAGTTCAACGGCTCCATTAATTCGATCTATAATGCGACATGAAATCATTTCAGCGACTTTACAACAGCATGCGGATTAATACAATGCAACAGATGCAGTTCTGTGTCAAATACATAATAATAATAAAGCAATGTCTCACACTTTGTGCCCAACTGAATAGATCAGAAATGTTACCTACAAGCGTTTTGCTGGCGTTAAACACAACAGTTGCATATCTGACTCTTGCATACCTGTCAACGGCCGAGATGTCTGGAATAATTTGTATATTTCTGTAAGCTATGTGACAGTCTAGCTAATAAAGCGAGAAGTAGGCGGAAGTGATGTAGAGAAAGCGAATGTAAACCTGTTACAGGAGGCTGGAGTTCCGCAAACCGGATCTAATGAACGATTTCTTTTCAAAACAACAACAAACGAGAGCAGGGCGCCTATTTTAGGCACACCGTTTCGACGATTTATTAGGATGCTAGTCGTAATTTCATGTGTTCCAGTTCTGTTAATTACATAGATGCTGTAATTAAGTTTAACTACATGACTGAAGAGTTTTTATTGAAATGTGTTAAACCATTGTTTAATCAACCACGTGTGTTGATAAAACTGCCGTATAAGTATAAAACAGGTTTTCTAGTACGTTTTAATTATAACATATAATATAATGCTATACGGTCCGTCAAATATTCACATTTGTAAACACTCTTCAACCAATTCATTAAAGATCCTATTCAAAAGAACGAATCCGACATCACCACAGGTGACCCGAGACCAGACACAGCTTCATGCAGAACTCACACACACCTGAACGTGAGTTTTCAGTAAATATGCTTTGGTATTTATCCCCGAATTGATCTACTTATCATGGTTTTTGTGGCGTTTGTCTCGATACAGTTGTTATTTTGTCCACCAGAGGACGAACATTACCCAGAATAAAAATGTTGAAAATAAAATGAGTCGACTGTCCAAAGCAGTACACAATGAGTTTGTTCAATTACAGTGTATAATAATGTTAAAGGAAAAAGTGTATATATTAATACAAAAAGTTATGTTTTTAAAACACTTTTTAAAGGCACACATTTACAGGAAAATATTGTTAAAGTGAAACTTTAAGAAAAAAGTAAGAAAAGCTAGATTCTCTTATTTTTGTTATCGATTTAGTGTCTCTTTTATTGATGTTTCTAACAATATACCGTTTAATCAATAGTGTGACCTTCCCCTGTACCACACGTTATTATCAGTGCATTTTATAATATCAGGTTATATGACTTAATATATGAAATCGTATAATATTATATTCGGTTTTTGTTAAATGTGAGCCAAAATCATCACAATTAAAAGAACCAAAGACTTAAACTACTTCAGTCTGTGTGCATTGCATTTATTTAATACACAAGTTTAACAATTTGAGTTGAATTACTGAAATAAACAAACTTTTCCACAACATTCTAATTTATTGAGATGCACCTGTATATTAACACGAGCTGTAAAATATAGTCACCAAAATGCCGCTTATGAAATGGTCAGTTTTTTTTTTCCCTTCCACAGGCCCTGCCATTTCATCTGGGAGTTTCTATACAAAACCTCCAGTATTTTATGGACAATCTTCTGAGATGCCAAGGTTGCATAAAAAAAGACTTAAAACACACAACTTTACTTGCCCATCTCTCTTCATAGAAACTAAAATGACTGTTTTGAAGAATGACGAATTAAAATATTAAATATGAAGCAGGGGAAAGTAGCACATCCGAGTCACTGTCAGTCCCCATGGAACTGTGTGTTGAAGAGATATTTTACTTGCCCTCATGTCGTTCCAAACCTTTGTGACTTCTTTCTTCTAACACAAAAGAAGACATTTTGAAGAATTCTCTGAAAAAGAATGCAAATACAAAAAGCTTAAAATACTTTCTGTACGACTGAAATTACTTCAAAAACTATGAACTCACAGGAAACAATAACTCACATCAACATGAAAACGTCTTTCTCCACGTCCTTCCCCTCTTCCTTCTCTTTACCCTGCGTTAACCCTGCGTTTAAGCCCTGAGGCCATTTTTGCCTCACTGAAGTTGATGTTTTTTCTGAGTGGCATACACAAAAATAATGACTCATAACTCAAAGACTGTAGCAAGGAGAGTCAAAAGGTTGGTATCGTTTGATAGAAAACTTTCTGTACTTTCAGTGGAAAAAACTTATTTAATTTGGACATTCTCCTGCTGAGAAATAGCTGATAAAAATTTAAGAAAAATTTGAGTGCTCAAGATAAATTTTTCATATCTGTCTTATTTGACATTCAATATCTCAGGACAGAAATAAGGTAGGAGGAAAATTCTTTTTTGATGATGTTCCCCAGCTGTTTCAAATTTTGTGGTGATGGCATGAACTATCCAAAAGTTACAGCATTTTGTAACAAAACAGGCCTTTTTGTTTAGCTCTTGACTCCTTGAAGGAATTTTAAATACTGTTGAGTGCCAGACAAAAAAATAATGACTCATAACTCCAGGACCGTAGCAAGGAGAGGTGATAAAATGTAAGAAAAATTAGTGTGGTCAAGGGAAATTTTTCATATCATTCTTATTTGATGTTCAATATCTCATGAAAGAAATAAGGTAGGAGAAAAAATGTGTGCTGTATGTGAATTAAATTTTGTGGTGATATCATGAAGTAATCAAAAGTTACAGCATTTGGAACCAAGGTAGCCCTTCTCTTAGCACTTTACAGTTTTTAAATTGTTATTTTGAATTTGAAGTAATGCCTCACTCAAGTTTAGTCAAAGTCCCAAAAAAGTATACTTGTTTTATTCTACTCGACGAGACCTTTCAAATGACATATGACACAACTATCTGAGCTGTATGATGTTTCTGACATATTAGAGTATATGGCACAAAAACATTTTTCATAAATTATGAAAACCGATCTCCCATAGTACAGAGCTTGGTCCTAGGGGGTTTCAGGAGATATTAAGGATGGGAGTGATATGATCATATTTGCGCACCCTCATCAGGATCCTAGCAGCACTGTTCGGAATGTACTGCAGCTTCTGGAGGCTTTTGCCAGGGATCCCGATGAGGAGCGCATTACAATAGCCCAGCCTGGAGGAGACAAAGTCGTGGACAAGCTTTTCTGCATCTCCAAAAGGGAGCATAGGGCGAAGTTTGGCGATGTTCCTCAGGTGAAAAAAATAGGTCTTACACAGATGTTTGATGTGATCCTCAAATGTCAGATGCAAGTCCATTTTAACACCCAGGTTGGTGACTGATGTTGAGAGTGAAATATCCTGGCCAGAGAAGGTAATGCTGTTAATGACAGATGTTCGGACTTGGTTTGGAGTGCCGATTAGGATGGCCTCAGTCTTGGAGCTGTTTAGCTGCAAGAAATTTTGCTTCATCCACGCCTTTATCTGCTCCAGGCAGGTGGTCAAAGTGGAAGATGGCAGGACAGCAGACAGGGTTGAGTTGGTCCTGACGTATAGTTGAGTGTCATCAGACCAAGCACTGAGCCTTGAGGGACACCACAGGTTACATTGTGTGTCAATGATTTAACCTCTCCCAAGGCGACATGCTCAGTTCTCCCAGTGAGGTAAGATGAGAACTAGTTATACACAGAGTCAGAAAGACCAATGGTGGAGTGCAGACGATGAAGGAGAATGTTGTGGTCCACAGTGTCAAATGCTGAGCTCAAATCCAGGAGGATAAGGAGAGATGGAGAGCCAGCATCTGCCATCATCAGAAGGTCATTTGTAATCCTGACCAAGGCTGTTTCCGTGCTGTGGCCGGAACGAAAACCAGACTGGAATTTCTCAAACAATTTATTTTGTTTTAAATGGACCAAAAGCTGCGCAGTTACTACTTTTTTCCAGCACTTTGGAAAGAAATGGAAGGTTGGAGATGGGCCTGTAGTTGTCAAAGGCTTCTGGGTTTAAGGTGGATTTTTTTTTGCTGCCTGATGACAGCAGTTTTCAATGTAGATGGAACATGACCAGCCTGGAGGGAGTGATTAATTACTTAGTGATCAAAGGACTTATAACACAGAGGTTAGATTTTACCAAGGATGTGGGGAAGGGGTCCAGGGCACAGGTGGATGGTTTCAACATTCTAATAATGTTCTCAACCTCTTGCTGTGAGATGTCAGAGAAACAGCAGAGAGGTTGGGAAATCCCAGGCTGTGGGTCGACAGTCAGGACAGACAGGACAGGTTAGCTGGATAGGACGGAGCGGATGTTATCTACTTTTTTGCTGAAAAAAGTGATAAAGTTGTTACACCTCTCCTCTGTAACGCCTGAATGACAATGCGTTTTTGGTTTAAGGATGTGATTGATAGTAGAAAAAAGTTGCTTGGAGTTTCCAGGGCTGTTGTTAATGATATTGGAGTAGAACTGTGACCATGCTTCTCTCAAAGACCTCGCATAGGCCTTCTGATGCTCTCTGTATGCTTGCTTGTGAACAGGAAGTCCTGAGGCCATAAAGTGACGCTCAAGGACACGCTCAGCTGTCTTCATCTTTCGCAGTTCGTAGGTGTACCAGGGAGCTGAGCACAAAAAGGTGACAGTTCTAGTTCTGATAAGGGCGTGGAAATCTAAGAGACTGCTCAGAGATTGGTTGTAGAAATCAACTGACTCAGTGACTGAGGAGAAATCATATAGGGGCTAAGTTTGAAATGACCAGGTCCAGTATGTGGCCCCTGAAATGTTTGGGGACATCAACATGTTGTTGGAGGTTGAGACAATCCAGTAGTTGCAGAAACTCGCCTGCAAAGTGGCAGGGGAAGTGTCTACATGAATATTAAAATCTCCAAGTACTATAATGTTAACAGAAATTGTGCAGAGTGTTGTAAGTAGATTGTGCATCTCTGAAATGAGTTTTGATTAGGGGGCCGATAGATGAGAAGTATTGTCATGGGAAAAGGGGATTTACACTTAAATGCAAGACATTCAAAAGAAGACAATGTAGGCAGGGGGAGGGGGGACAATTCCAAATTCTGTCTGTGTATTACAGCTAAGCTACCACCACGACCAGTGCTGCAGGCTTTCTCCTGGTAGCTGTAACCAGGGGAACAGGCGTCATTTAATGCTGAGTAGACCTCTGGCTGGTGCCATGTTTCTGTAATGCACATAAAGTCTAATCCCTTATCCATGATATGGTCTTGTATAAAGGATGATTTATTTGAGGGATTGTGTATTATAAAGTTCTATTTTAAGCATTAATGAGGTAGTGAATCTCTGTAGAGACCGTAGTACACCGGAATTCACTCCACATTTTCTGTCGTACTTGATGTGCAGGGATTTCGTGATGTTTCCCATACAGTCCAGCTTTGCATGCAAAGATCTCGCGGTGTTTCCCGTGTTACTAACATCAAGAACGACACTGTTTTGATGACGCGGCAGACATGCGACAGTGGTCCAGATGGATGGAATGGCTTAAGCAGAGCAGCCACGCCGATGGTAAACAAACTTTCGACGGGAACTTCTGTGGATATAACGGGGTCGTCGCAGAAGTCCAAGTTCTTTGACAACTGCAATGCACGTTGGAATGGTGCGGTTGTTGAGAGTCAGCAGCTGTGGGATGGAATACTTGAGCTTCATGCCGATCGCTGAAAAGCTCGCAGTAGCAGTGCTAAACGACAGAAAAATATCCAGGTGTTCACCCACTGATAGTGAAAAATGACCAACAATCAGCCGATGTTGGAAGGGATAGCAGTAGGTGAGCAGACAGCCTTCAATTAGATAAATAATCCGTGCAAAAAAACTGTTAAAAAAGAGAAACGGCGAAAACAACAAATGCCAGCGTTTCCCTACAATTTAAAACAATCAGTGCAAAAAAAAAATGTTTAAAACTATTAAAACAAAGAAACTGTTACAACGGAGAAGCGGCAAACAAAAAGCACCAGCGTCCTCTCTCGTCAGGAGAGATCCAATTCAAGTGTGAAAAGGTATCATTGAAGTCAAACGTTTTTTGAATATATACTGTTCAAAAGTTTGGGGTCAGTAATAATTTGTTTTGTTTTTTAAACAGTTGACGATAGCCATTGACTTCCATAGTATTTTTTTCCATACTATAGAAGTCAATGGCTACCGTCAGCTGTTTGTTTACCATCATTCTTTAAAAATATCATATTTTGTGTTCAACAATTCATACAGGTTTGGAACAACTTGAGGGTAATGTAAAGAGTAAATGATGACAGAAGTTATTTTCAGAATCAGAATCAGAAGGAGCTTTACCAAGTATATTTACACACACAAGGAATTTGACTTGGCGACAGGAGCTTCCAGTGCAGAATACACACATAGTGCAAGCATACATGATAGTGCAGACACGCATAGGATTACACGGTAAGGGTGAAATAACGCTAAAAAACTGAAAAATAAATAATGTACTATATACAGAAATAGAATTATAGAGGAAAAAAACATATAATTGTTTAAATGAATGTACAGATATGTTATTTACAAGTGTACCATATTTGTAGTTTACAATATACAGTTTCCAGATACTATGTATAAAAGTGTCTGTTATGATGGACAGTGTGTAGTGATTAACTTTTTAATTGTTCAGGCTGAATATGGCCTGCAGGGAAAAAAAACTGTTCTTATGCCTGGCTGTTCTGGTGGTCAGTGCTCTGTAGGGCAAACTATCCCTTTAAGCGAATTGTTCCTTTAAATGCCAATATTAATTCCTCCTTAGATGGTAACACATCATAAGAACCAAACCGGAGATGTCAGGCATCCTCTAAAGGAAAACATGACCACACACAACTGCACAGACTTGACATCAGAAATCCTGGATGAGACATGATCAGGTCGCCATTCGCACACCGGCACCAGCTTAAAGCCAGACTTCTGCTTATGTTCAAAGATCTTTTACATAACATGCAGCAGTTGTAAAAGAAGAGACCTGGGAAATCAGCCTTTTAAAGCAGCGGCCAACTGGCAGGAATGGATTTGACGTGTCTTTATCCCCGAAGTGCAGAGTGCCACCACAGACACCATCCATCACATCATTAATTCAGAGGCTTGCTGCCGTACTCAGAGAGGCCGATCCCCAGCGTAAAATCATGTACATGTGGCTTTTACATTTCCACATACACAACTCAACCCCAGTTGCACAACAGATGCAAATGTACCCTAAAGCGCAAACAAACCAGATAATAGAGATATTGCTAATTAATCAAGTGCACTCTGAAAGTATGAAAAGAGTGATACTATGTTTGAAACAGTAGGCTACTCTATGATGTGATTAGTATGCAAACTTTCTGTAAACAAGAAATGGCAGGATCAAAATGTGCAGTATATATATATATATATATATATATATTTTTTTTTTTTTTTTTTTTTTTTTTTTTTTTTTTTTTTTCTAAGCACAGTTAT